TGATTGTTGAATAAATAAATGAATGAATGAATACTGTGGTCAGAATAATCTTTTTTTTTTTTGCAACTGGGGTTAAATGACTTGCCCAGGGTCACACAGCTAGTACATGTCAAGTGTTTGGCCTGAGGTCGGGTTTGAACTCAGGTCCTCCTGACTTCAGGGCCAGTACTCTATCTACTGCACCACCTAGCTGCCCCCAGAATAATCTTTCTTAAGAGTAGAACTAGTTAAATAACTTCACTGATCAAAAATCTTCAGTGACTCTCTATTCCTACAGGTTTAAGTTCAAAATGCTTTTGATTCAAAGCCCTTTCCAATTTGATATCTCTCTGCCCTTCCAATTTTTATACCACCCATATGCCACCAATGTCAAATTCATTAAATCATATATAAGGATCTCTGAAAGCTGCATATGACTTAGAAAACCACATATTCACATTATCTATCTTCTATTATATTTTTATTTTGGTAAATATTTCCCAGTTACACTTTAATCTGTGGGCAAGCCTCCTGATAGACATTTCTGTTCTAAACTTAGGCCAAATTGGATTACTCTCCTCTCCTATTCTCTCCCCCACACTTTTCCTGTCTCTACTTTTCCCCCAAGCCACTTCCTCCCTGTGAGATCATAGAGCTGAGTCCAACTCCCCCATTTTACAAATAAGGAAACTGAATCCCAAAAAGGTTAAGTGATTTATGCAAGGTCATTCGGGTAGTAAGAATTAAAGCTAGAATCCAAACTCAGGTTTCATGACTCCAAAGTCAGTGCCCTTTCCACTGTATCATACATCTCTTGGATGGAAGGTCACCTCATCCAGGTGATCTGAACTCACTGGGGCCTGCCAAGTGTGATCTTATCTGTCTTGGGTCTGGACTCTCTCCTAACAATTTTTGTTCTATTCTTCCCAGTCTGTAGATAATTTTCACTGGTACAGAAAACAGAAGAAAAACATAAATGTTTCTGCTTTTTCTTCAGTGTCCAACATCATATTCCTTGGTAGTCTTATTTAATTCAATTCAATTCTATAAACATGTATTAAGTGCCTAATACAAGCAAGGCACAGTGCTAGGTACCAGGGATATGGGGGAGAGGAAATGCCTAACATTTACACGAGTATTTTAATACACACTGCACATTAAGTTCACTCCATATTTCATACACATTGCCTCGATGGACCCTTACAACAACCTTATGAGGTAGGTAATACAAATGTAACATGGATTATGTAGAATGAGAGCAGGCATTTTCTGCCTGCCTCCAGTTGACCCTGTGGCACTTTGCAGCTGCTTCTGGCCTTGAGTTGACCCCATTGCTGAAAGGACTTGGTGTTATACTGTGGCATGGAATGGTCCTCCCTATGTGACAGAGTAGATGATACAGATGCCACCATCTCATCTTGATCTCACAAAGTCACCTGCTCCAAGAAGGAAACACAAGAGGCAGGGGCTGCCAGAGACCCAGGGGGAAGCTCACCGAGTTGGGTCCTCCAAGCACTAGCTCCCATGTTGGTGAAATCACCATGATATGGCGTAGAAGACCTTGTCCTTTCCACACCCTTTAGCGAGTCACACCTTGACCCATCATGGCCAATGATGGACAAGTTAGTAGCTATTTCTTTTAATAGATATTGCACCTTGATTCCTTGCTATTTTGGAGATGGGGAGAGAAGACCAAAGGACTACTCAGAGTTTTCCACATCATACCAAAATGGCAAGTTCTTTCAGCAATGGGTCAACATATCTGGAAACAGTCCCAAAGTGGGCCAACCAAAACTAGACAGAGAATATCTGGCCATGCTTTATACAACTCACCTTATATAGGTATTTCTATTTTGGAAATGAGGATAGGGGTCTTACAATCATAGATTTAAAGCTGGAAAGGATTCCACACCTTCATTTTACAGGTAAGTCAGGACCAAAGGAAGGCAGTGGCTTGCCCAAGGTCATGAAAGTAGTAAATGTCAGAAATGGGATTTGAAGTGAAGTCTTCAGATTCTCAGTTTAAAGTCTGGCTAAGTGACTTAGTGGTCACAAAGCTGATAAGTGTCAGAGGTGGGATTTGAACTCAGGTTTCTCTTGACTCTCAGGTCCAGTATGCTTGCCACTACCCTATACTGTCTTTGTAAGAACCTTTCTACAAGTACCTCACATAGTATTTCATTTTACACCTTTTAAATGTACTTGATGTAGAATATAATGAATTATCAGTAGCTAAGTATGTACCATCACCATATGAAACTGCTCTAGAGCATGAGAGACCATTTTTAAAAATACAAATTGTGTGTCTCCCCCACGTGCTCTGAACATACTAGATGTTTAATAAAAGTTTGTTGATTGAATGAACAAATGCTGTCATAAAAAACCAAACCAATTCTCGAATCTCACTTAACAACATATTTCCTAGAGAAATAGTGGGGATGTCATTCTTTGAAGAGGTTAAGACTTGAAACCATTGGTTTATTTTATTTTTTTTATTTTTGCCACTGAGTCACTTGGGAACCTACTTCTCTGTTTTCTAAATTAAAGACTAGGAAGTGCTTTTGGGCTCTTAAATCAGAGGCTGCACAATGGGGAAAATTTCCATTATTAGGTAAGAAGTGAGGTCACTGAGAAAGAAAAGGACATATGATTTCATCAGTCATCAGTGTGGCTATAATCACTCTCCAGTCCCACAGACCCCAACCATCTAATAGACTGAAAAGTAGTTAATGAGTTGCTGGATCAAAAAAAAAAATCCCCTGGTGACCAATCCTTTTTTGATGAGCTTCTCCAAACTTAGCTGGGCTATTCCTCAGATGACATCTAGTCAGTCTGACCCATCCATACTTGAAAGCTTTTCTGGCTTGGTCTGAAACCTGCCAAATTTTATGGTAAGAAGTATAGAATTTTTAATGGAAGAAAGCTAATGTGCTGGATCTTCTACAATCAAATGTTTCATTAAAGTTATCTTGTTAACCTTGCTTAGCTACATCCCTGAAAAAATATAAAGACACACTTCACTTACAAATAGTAAAACTAAGGTGAAGAAACTTTGTTACTGATTTATCAGTGTTAACTTGACCCAATAACCAAGGCAACATATTAGATGATCTGATTTCTTCATCTGCAAAGGAGAGTCTCTCAGGTAGCTTTACAGAATTCCTTTTAGGGAAGTCTTGGGATTTTTTTTTTAAAGCATGCAATTTTGTTCTATTCCTACCCTGGATCTCTTCATGTCTTGGTGAGGGACAGTTTTGCTAAAAGAATTTGCTTGGGTTTAAATTAGTCAAATCCTCAGATCTAATGATTTTTAAATTTTTGCTAATCATTAAGCCATGAGGCCAGGAAGTATGCTCTCCACTGACATGAAGGTAAACAGGTTCAGTGCGGTTTTCTTTCATTACCTTTTAAGTCTGCACAGAATTTATTGTAGGTCAAATGTTTCATTTGCAAGGAAGCAGCCAAATGCTTCTTACAGAAAATTTAGCTGTTTGGGGTCTACTTGGGGGAATGAGAGGATGGATATACCATTTAAAGTACCCCTATTATGGTCCCTACACAGCACACAAGTTGATGCCAGTAGGAAGGTAGAGAGAGAGAGCTGAAGAGCGACCAGATCTGGCATTATTGTCAAGAGTTTTAATTTCCAATTCTCTCTTGCTCCAGCTGGGTTTTGACTAGCTTGGGTACCGGGTTTTTGCGATGCAGACCCAAGAATCAAGGAGCTAACGAAATTATCATGCGGTATTTTAGCTGCTTTTCTGTCTGCACAGGTACACGTACAGGTACAGGTACACACACGTACACACACACACACACAAAGCCAAAGTTGTCGGGAAAATAAAGTTTCGAGTACATCTGGCCACCGCCGCGCATACGGACATACACAATTCCTATGAAGCTACAGTTGTCATGTTTCACACACATCTGGCCACTGGCATGTATATACGCATACATATGCACACACACAACTCCTATGAAGCTAAAGTTGTCACGTTTTGCACAATCTGGCCATTGGCGTGTGTATACGCACACATACATATTCACACAATTCCTATTAAGCTAGAGTTGTCATGTTTCGCGCACATCTGTCCACTGGCCGGGTACACTCATAGACACACACATACACCCCATTAAGCCAGAGTCATATTTCAAACACATATGGCCACTGGCGTGCATATACACACACACAATCCCTATTAAATCACAGTTGTCACGTTTTGCACACATCTGGCCACTGGTGCACATACATACACACACAACCCCTGTTAAGTCAGAGATGTCATGTTTCGCACACATATGGCCACTGGCATGAGTACAAACACATACATATATACAATTTCTGTAAGCCCTAGTTGTCACGTTTCGCACACATCTGGCCGCAGGCACGCGTGCGCGCGCGCGCACACACACCCACCCTATTAAGCTAGAGTTGTCATGAAAATAAGGTTTCGCGCACATCTGGTCCCTGGAGAGAGAAGGGAGGGAAGGCACCGGCGCCGAGAGCCAAGAGGATCCGGTTGTACCGGGGCCACGAATAGAACGAGAGCGCAGGGGCTCCCAGCGGGGGACCGTGGATAGGCAGCATTTACTCGCTGAGAAGAACCAATGAAGTTCAAGGTTGCGGTGCTGTCGCTGCTGCCCTCGGCGCCGGCCGTTAGGGGGCAGCAAAGGACGCCCACGCGCTCCCTGGCCAAGCTCCCCTCGGCCTCCTCCCTCCTCCCTCCCCCTCCTCTCCCATTACGTCTCTCTAGGTTGCCGACCCGGCGGCGGGGCGGGGCCGCGGGACGCCGTGTTCCCACAATGCTCCGGGGCGGTGCCGCCCGCCGCCGCCGCCGCCGCCGCCGCGCTGCCGCTGCCGGTACCGCTGCCGCTGCCGCCGCCGCCGTCGCCGCCTCCGCTGCCACTAGTGGGAGAAGATGGCGGAGGGAGGAGCGGCGGATCTGGACACCCAGCAGTCCGACATCGCTACGCTCCTCAAAACCTCGCTCCGGAAAGGGGACACCTGGTGAGGGGGACGGGGCGGGGCGGGGACTGAGGGCGCCCGCGGCTGCCTGGGGGACGCCGGAGGGGAACCGGGCGGGAAGCGCCGGGGCCGGTGTCTTTGCTGAGTGACAGGTGCGGGGCGGGCAGGTCTGACCGGGACCGGGGAGGACTGGTGGGGGGGTGGCGGGGAGGTCAGAGGTTAGGCTGGAGGTGAGAGGTCGCGAGCGAGGCGGGCGTGGGGGCTCCCGCCTGCGTCCCGCCCTCCCGAGCCGCTCCCAGCCTCGGGCCCTCATCCGGTGAGCCCCTGCGGAGGGAGGGGAAGGGGCGTGGGTGGACAGGTCCCATCCGGCCCGGATCCGGAGCTTCTCCTCCTTTCTTTCTATCGTTTCCTCTCCCACTCTCCTCCCCTTGGACCGACCGCCAAGTTTGCTGGTCTGGGGAGCCTCGCATCATTCCGGGCCGGGCGGGCTGCGGGCCGCACAGGTGGCATGGGTCGGGGCGCCGCGAAGGGCAAGGAGCCCCTAGTTTCCCGTTCCCTGTCAGAGGAGTAGTGCGGAGTCGGGAGCCCTTTACACGGATCGAGGAGGCCCCACGTGGTGTCGGGCTTCCCAGGGAGCTTGTCATGCAGCCGCAGCAGCGGGGGGGAGGGGGGGGAAGTTCACTTTGAAGTTCAGCTCGTACCTTCCTGACTCTGGGGATAACAGAGCCCTGCAAAAAAAAGATAATAAGTCCGTGGGAGTTGAACTAACTTGCTGGTGGTATTCGTAAAGCCCTGGAGTTAGAATACTTAAGGACCTACCTAAGGTAGGCAGATAATTCCATCCCAGGGAGTGGAATTTTTCATACTTCCAAGCAATCGGTCGGTAAGGGTTTATTAAGTGCTTGCTGTGTTCGAGGCACTGTACTAAGTGCTGGAAGAAACGAAATAACATTTATCTGGTATCCCAAATAAGCTCAAAGTATAAATATGGCTATATGCATGAAGCGTTCATGTATTTAGGCGGAAATCATCATAATAATGATAGCTAACATTTATGTACCGCTTACTGTCAGGCATTAAGCACTTTACAATTACTGGCTTACTTGGTCTTTGCAACAATCCTGGGAGGTAGGTGCTGTTATTATTCCCATTTTACAGGTGAGGAAACTCAGGCAGACAGGGTAAGTACACAGCTAGGAAGTATCTGAGGTCAGATATGAATTCAGGTCTTGCTGACTAATCCATTGAGCCACCTAGACGCCCTAATAAACATTAAAAGCCAACTGTGGCCCTGTGATAAGCACTATACGCAGGAAAAGACGACCTAAATTCATGGAGTTGGAGGACATAAGCTTATTTCTTTTCTGATTGATTTTTATATAAAGTTTTAAGAAAATTAAGCCTTACCTAAAGTCAGAGTCTGTCTCTACTTATGCTTGGATTTGTATCCTCAGTGCTTAGCACATAGTAAGTGCTTAAAAAAATGCTTGTTGCCTGCCTTCTTGAAGTGATCTGTTTTGTAGGGCTAAAAGTTATGGACATGTACAGTGAATGATAGTTATTTTCATCAGTTACTGTATGTGTTTTTAGTTTCTGCTCAGTAGCTTCTCTGAAGTGCTTAGCAAAGTGGTTGGAGCCTAGTGTAGATGCCTAATAGATGTTTATTGGCTGACCAGCTGTGTACTTTAATGGGTCAAGTACCTTCAGCATTTCAATGAATTTCGGTATAACAAAGAACAACTTTGAATGCCTTTTAGTAATCTATATAGTTCATATTCTTGTATGAAGTTTACTAATCATTGGAGAATATCTGGAACTCAGGTTTAACCTTGGCACATGGTTCTTTCAGAATGTGGTCAGTATTATCCTACTGTGTGTAAAAGAAGACTTATTGCTTATAATGAAAATTTAGGCTTTGAAATAGAAACTAGCATATCAGGGTTTGAACATTTACCTCAGCCTTTTTAGTAATGTCATTTAATGATAAAGTCTAGTACAGGCCAAAGATCAGCCTAGCTAAGCTCAGAGAGGCTCATTGCAAGATTGGCCAAGAGTGATGAATTTTTGCTACAGCAACTCATGAAGCTAATTTCTGAACTCATGAAGAAATTGCAGTCTTTAGTTGGTGGAGGGAACATGTACATGGATGAAATTGCAGATGCCTAAAGTTCCGTAGTAAGAAATCTAAGTAGAAGCATACCTGTTGTCATGGATGTGCCCATTTTTACTTAAAGGTTATAATTGTTAAGTTTTTGCTTTATGATAAAGTTACTGAGAAATTTTCACCTTATATATTTGAAAGTTTTATAGAGGTTTAGAATAGGAAAGAACTTTAGAAATCATTTAGTCCAGCTCCTTTTATATTACCATTGAGAAAATTGAGGCCAATATGTAGTGTTAGTGGTAAATTTGATCATGCAATAGATTAATTGCACAGTTTTTCACTTTTAATTAAAGAAAAGCAAAAAGGGACTAAAGTTGTATATGTTGTAGTAGATATTGGGAGACTTGACTGATTTATAAATGGGCTGTGTTCTATTTGTAGTTTAGCAGAGGAAATTTGCCCAAGTACCAAAAAAAGCTTGATAAAATTTTTTAATGGTAATGTAATAGTATTAATCAGTTTTTGTTTTTTAATTGAAGTGTTACCTGGTTCGTTGCTTTTGAATTAAATAAAAGTGATGTTTTTCTTTTAAACTTAGTCCAAATCTTGCCTCAGCAGCTAGCTCTTGACCCTAAATGAATCATTTAGCCTCTCTCAGCCTTAATTTCTTCTTCTGTAAAATGAGGATAATAATAGCACCTGGCTCACAGAGTTATTTTGGGGATCAAATGGGATAACATATTATACAGCACTTTGCAAATCTTAAAGTGCCATATAAATGGTAGCTGTTTTTGTTAACCCGATTAAGGTTTCCTATACTTGGGAAAATCTTGTCTACAAGTTTGTAGACAAAAAGGCCCATTTGCCAATGGACTGGTGCTTTTGAAGGAGCTATAACTGGAGCAACTAACCATCTTTGGAAAGGGCAGTGAAACTTTTGGGAAAAATCTGTTAGAGCTGCAGATTTATGTATTTATTTATTAAAATTTACTTTTGAAAAAAATTTACTTTTTTTAATGAACAAAAGCCTCTTTTCTTTCCTACCACCTCCCCACCTTCTCCCATTGAAAAGAAAAAGAAAACCTTGTAACAAATATGGATAATCAAAGCAAAATATTCCCACAGTGGCCTTATTCAAAAAATATCAGCACCCTGGATCCATCACTTCTCTGTCAGAAGATGAGTAGCATCACCTTTCATCATGGGTCTTCTAGAATTGAGCTATGTTTTTAAATCAAAGTGTTTTGAAGTTGTTTGTCTTTACGTTGCTATTTTATTACATAATCTATTTTCCTGGTTCTACTCACTTTGGGCATCAGTTCATACTAGTCTTCCAGGGTTTCTCTGGAGACATTCCCTTCATTATTCCTTATAGCACAATGGTTTTCCATTAATTTACATCTCATAATTTTTTTCCAGCCATTCTCCAATAGATGGGCAACGCCTTAATTTCCAGGTCCTTGCTACCACAAAAAGTGTTATATTTTATCTTAAGTGAGGCTCTCTCTTTTTTATTTGTTCATGAACTCTTCCCATATATGTAAATCTGAAAGGAAATTTTGTCCTTCTCTAATTTGTGTTCTCTTCTCTTGGTATTTTATACCCAGATGTGATACATATGTGTGTGATATACACACATACACATAACTATGGGTTATATCTATTTACTTGTAGATGTAGTGATAGCATCATGGCTAGAGAATGAGAGAGATCGATCTGTGTAGGTATATAACTTGAGATGTCTCTCTAGTCCTAATTTCTGCTACACTGCAGTTCTTACTTGAGTAGCTGGGGTCTTTGGGTTTATCAAACATGAGGCTGTTGTGTTTGATTGCTTTTGTATGTTGTATACCTAATCTATTCCACTGATAACTTTTTGAAAATTTGATTTGAACATTTTCAAAGGTACAGTGATATCTATATGGAATAATAATATGAATTCTGGGCAGCTAGGTGGCACAGTGGATAGACTGCTGGGCCTAGAGTCAGGAAGATTCATCTTCCTGAGTTCAAATTTGGCCTCAGACACTACTAGCTGTGTGACTCTGGGCAAGTCACTTAACCCTGTTTGCCTCAGTTTACTCATCTGTAAAATGAGCTGGAGAAACTGTTCCAGTATCCCTACTCAGAAAACTTGGACATGACTATAAAATGACTAAACAACAACAAATATAAATTCCATTCATGGGGCATTTTTAATTTCTTAATTAATATGTACAGGACACTCTGCTAGGCACTGGGAATCCAAAGATGAAAAATGACATCCACAAGAAACTTATAGTCAAATAATGGAGGGAATAAGAGAAAGGGATACACATCTGTATACCTAAGTATAATGCAAGTTCATTTGTGATCAAGTTAAATGAAATAATATCATATTTTAGTAACTAGATTCTAAGTTACTTACGGGCACACACTTAAGTACTTTTTTGTACCATGATATCTAGCAAAGGGTTAGGCATACAATAAGTGCTGAGTAAATACTGGTTAGAAAAATAGTGAATGTTATTTGATAGAGATATTTGAAAACTAGAATTTGAATTGGAAAATTAACTTTACAAATAATGATAGCTAACATTGTGCAAGTATGACAAACCACTACAGTTGATGGTAGACTCAAGCTTAATATGACTTAGAAAGTAATTGCTTCTATTTTTAAAAGAGGGGGAAGGTGAAAAGCTTGGGGAGAATGGGTAGCACTGGAAGTTTTTGCTTTATAGCGAGTTACTGAGAACATTTTTCCCTTATATATTTGAAAGAGAGGGTGTATGCATGTAGCTAGACTTCAAATAAACTAAATAAGAATAATTTTTGTGTTGTCTCTAATAAGTATCATTTTAAAGTTAACTTTGGAAAATGATTTTAATTTGCTTGGCATAATTAAAAATCTCTTGATGAGAAGTATATCACATTTCTCAATCTAGAAAAATTCCATTTGGGATAAGTTTTTAAAATATATATTAGGAATGTAAATGTCAACAAATACGAGCATTTCAATATGCAAAGATCAGAAAAGAGGACTGTATATGAAACTCCGAACTTCTGTTATATAGGCTTTTAAAAAATATACATTAACTTTCACACAGCAGTAGCAAAATAGTCCAGTTCCTTCTGAGTTTCTTTTTCCACTCACTTCTGTACCTTTTAAAAAAAGATTTTATTAATATTTTATCTTTAAACACTGTATTCTTTCTCCACTTCTTCCCAGAGTGTTCTCTCTTATAATAAAGTATAAAGAAAAGAAGAAAAGGAAAAAAAATTCTACAAAACTGAAAAGTGAAGTATCCCATAGCCGTGGTCCTACATTTTTACAAAGGTGTGGGGTTCATCAGTGGTCTTTTCTTTCTTTGTGTTATTGTCACTACCCACCAGCTCGCATCCAAGGAGAAAAAGCTCTCCTCACTCCAGTGTACCCTCCAGACTCTGCTGATCAAGTGATTTTCCTGAAGTACCAATCTGTGTCGTTTCCCTGCTCGATACACTCTAGCTTCTTGTTGGCTCGAGGATAAAATATGTGGTCATCTGTTTAGATTTTAAAGCCTTTCACCTGGCCTCAGCCTATTTTTTTTCTTCCTCATTGTACATTACTCCCCTTTCCTCATCCCGTAATACATGGCCTCTCTGTTCCTTACACAGGGCATTCCCAGCACTGTTTTTGCAGTGACGGTCACCCCCATTCCTGGAATGCTTTTCCTCCTCATCACTACTTCATAGAATTCCTTCTTCCTTTGAGAAACAGCTTAAGTACCACTTTCCAAGTCAGGTTTTCCTAACCTGGACTCCCTTTGTGAACTGCTTTTATAAAATATTTGATAACTTTATTGCAATATATTTCCTTTGAAATTTTATGTATTTTATTTTATGCCTTTAAAAATATTCTTCTGAGAAGGCATCACTAAGCTTCATCGGACTGACTGCCAGAGGCATCGAAAACTCCAAAAAGGTTAAGAACTCCTGTAGTTAACTGAAGACTTTCCTAAACTAATCCCCCCAACTTTTTAGCCCCTCTCCACCAGACTGCCTTGTATTGCACTACTTCATATTTATTATTTTTACACTTATTCTGTATATAATTATATAAGTACTAGTCTCTCCTTTTTGAATGCAAGCTTCTTGTGAGAGAGGATTATTTCGTGCTTTGTGTTTATGTCCTCAGTGACTAGCACAGTGCCTGGCATGTATATGATTGGTGTTTAATGAATACTTGTTGACTGATAGAATGTTTTTTTGTGTTTTTTTCCCAAGTAAAATAAACCAATACATTGGCCTGTCTGGAAAATATGTATCTCTCTCTTTTTTAAATTAATTTTTTTGTTATATTCTTAGTTCTGAACTGTCTGCCTCCCCACCCCACACTAGAGAAGCCACCATTTGACCCAGATAAATCTTTCTTTTTATCCATCTATCGATCTACCTGTAAAACCATACTATGAATACTGGTATTTATCATTTCTTTCTCTAGAGGTGGATAGCATCTTCCTTCATAGGTTCTTTGTAGTTGATTTGAATATTTATAATACTCAGAATAACTTAGTCATTCACAGCTATTCAGACAATATTGCTGTTACTGTATACAGTGTTCTTTTTATTCTGTTCATTCACTCTTCATTATTTCATGCAAGTCTTTCCATATTTTTCTAAAATGAACCTGCTCATCATTTTTAACAGAACTGTACTCTGTCACAATTATACAGTGTAACCTGTTTAGCCATTCCTCAGTTCCTGGGTTTCACCTCAATTTCTAGTTCTTTGCCACCACAAAGAGGTGGTGCCATATATATTTTAGAACATGTAGGCTCTTTTGTTTTTCCTTGATCACCTTAAGAAACAGACCTAATAGTGGTATGGATCAAAGGGTATATACAGTTTTGTAACACTTTGGGCATAATTTTAGGTTGCTCTCTCAAATGGTTGGATCAGTTCACAGTTCCACCAGCAGGGTATTAGTGTCCCAATTTTTCCATATCCCCTCCCGCATTTGTCATTTTCCCCTACTATCATTTTAACCAATCTGATAGGTGTAAGATGATATCTCAAGGTTGTTTTAATTTGTGTTTCTCTAATCAGCAGTGATTTAGAGTATTTTTTTATATGACTGATTTCTTCATCAAAAAACTGTTCATCTCTTGACCATTTATTAATAAATCATATTCTTATAAATTTTACAAAGTTCTCTATGTATTTGAGATATGAGAAGTTAAAAATGTGTATCTCAGTCTGCACCTCCTATTCCATCAGGTATTGATTTCATTTGTTTCAATTTAACTTTTTTTTTTTCATTATAATCCTCTTTCCTGTGAATCCTGGTAAGTATACAGTCAGTAATTTAAAATGTCGCATCTATGTTTTATGTATATGCTTGTGTGTGCAGATAGATAGGTGTTTAATATTTTCAGTCATTACTGTTTCTGTGAAGTATTCAAAATTAGTATCTGCACGGTGTGTACCAAGAGAATAGTCTAACATAGGGCATATATACTCTTTCTGAGTAGTAAATGAAACTAAAAACAAAACTAGGAAATAAGCCTTTTTTTCAAGTCTCTATAAATAGGAAAAGTCATTTACGGTGCTTTTAAATTTGTAATGCTGACATAGTAACTTCTAGGAATTTAAAAATACAAATAACTTTTTAGCAGACTTTTACAGAGTATTTTTAGTTACTACAAAGCTCACGTAAAATCCAAACTTAATGTCCATATTTGACCAAAGTGATCTGGAATTTCTGTTAGTCTCTTAATTTACAGATCTTATTTGGTAGTAACATAGAATTTAAGTTGCAAGTTACATTCAACTCCTGAGATTTAATTTTTCTGAATTATATATTATCCCCTTGAACTACTACAGCTTCATTACATATAGAAATAGCATTGCTTTAGTGGATAGTGAATGAGAGGGATTGGTGGGGGAGAGGGGGTTCTGTTCAAGTCCTGCCTCAAACCTGCTGGCTTCATGACTCTGCAAATCATTTAACCTCCCAGTGCTTCCGGCAGTTCCCCAAACCTAGTAAGTTGTTCAGAAGGTGTTGATCTTCACTGATGGAAGGAATTTCTTTACTGGAAGCTTTCTATAGTAATGAAATCACAGTTCCTAGTCTGTCCGTCACCTCCCCTCAAACGTCCTTTAAAAAAAGATTTGTTACATTTATCTCTTGCCTCAGGTTTTGTGAAATTTTTGAATGATAGACTTAAACATGACTTTTTAAAAGTTAATCTGAATACTTCTTTTTAAAAAAGTTTTATATTTTAAGATCTATGCAGTGTAGATTGAGCAATGAACTTGGAATTAGAAGAGCCCTGAATTTGAAGTCCTGTCTTAGACACTTAATAGTTATGTGGTCCTGGACAAGCCACCACACTTTTCTCTGAGCCTCAGTTTTCCTCATTTGTAAAGTAGGGATAATAATAACTTAGTTCTTAGCTCACAATGTTCTTCTAGTTCAGTAAACATTTATTAAGATCCTATTCTCTGCCAGGCACTGTGCTAAGCACTGGTGGTTAAAAAAAAAAGGCAAAACAAGTACCATGATGTATTTAAAATACTTTACATACCTTAAAGTACTATATGCCTATTAATTGTTCTTTAAATGGAAGATTCCTATTCAAATTAAATATGTGCATATCCAGATATTTTAAATAGACTACTCTACCTTTAGCAGCAGTATTGTGCCACTTTGTCCCACCTGTATTCTCTGACTTTTCAATTTTTATATCTTAGAGTAAGAAAAAGTTAGTTTAATTTGCATTTTTGCCCCCAGTAATCAAAGCATTCAGTGGTGCTATAGTATGTTATGCATACTAACTAGATGTTTGAATGTGGGGCAAAATTGTCACTTTGATTTTTAAAAATTGCATTGTTATACTATCATGATAAAGGAAATAGGAGTATTTGCTAGTTAGCTTTTAGTTTTACTTATCAATAATTTTGTTTTTTGTGAACATTACTTATTATGTAGCAATTAAATATTGTGGAAGAGTAGTAAGTGCTCGTACTATATTTTATAATCAGTCTTAATGCTTTAACAATAATGTGCTAATGATTCATGTATTATAGCAAACCACAGAGATAATATTCTTCCTTTGCAATATAAATCTGCAAGAGCAGCCCAAGATAAAAATTCTAGTTTTGTAATACAACAGTCCTTATTACATGTTTGCTCAATAATATTTTTTAAGAATAATGATTCATTATGAATTTTTAGAATCTGGGTAAGTAATGCATTGAGGGGAATAGCTTTTGGTACCTTCTCATCTTTGAAGTACATGAATTGAAGCTTCTCTGGCACTTCCTTTCCTTTCATTTCCACCTTACAACTCCATGTCACTTTCTTCACTACAAAAGTCATCTATTCTCATTTCTCCCCGTTGTCAGCTGCACCTAAAGGATTGCAATTCAGTTTATTGTCATATAAGAACCAAATGAAGTAGGCTGGGCAGGTATTATCTTGAGATCCAGAGAATTTTATGTCTCAAGGTCATATGCCTAATATTAAATTTGTCTATGCCAGAGTACTGAATTAGGCCTGGTAGAGACGCAAAAAGAAGTAAAACATTGAGCCATGTTGAGATGAAGAACCTAAGACCAGATCCTAGATCTTCTATATTAGTTTGTTTTCCCCATTATCTCGTGTTAACTCTTTGTTCCTCCTATATCCATACTGCCAATAAATCCCAACTTTTGTCCTTCATAATATGATTTGAATCTATTCTCTTTATTTTCCATTTTGTTATCTCTTGCCATAATCATTTTTTCATTCTTTCCCTTTCTTAGTACTTAACATTATGTTAAGTTATCCAATGTCACCCTTTGACCCTCTAGTCCATCCTACACATGGTTGCTGGAATAACCTGCCAATGAGGAAACTAGTTTAATTTTCTGTTCAAATATTTTCATCCATAGTAAGGTATCCAGTACCTTGGAACTCATTCCTGATGAAGCCCTAACAAAAGTCTGTTGTGTAAATAACCTCAGTACTGTATGCAGATTTCTCCCAAGGAAAAAAAGTGCAGCTGTAGTGGGAGGTGGGAAAAGCATTAAATTATTCCTTGGTTGGAGTGGATCATAGAGTGTTATTGCTTCTAGAAGCAGGGTACTCATACATGAAGGTTTTTGGGGAAGAGAGCATCTTCTGTCACAAGAAAGAGAACTAAGATATTACCGCCTGAGCAGAAAGCTTAAGGCTTGAGTTTTCCAATGAAAGAGTCCATTTTTATGTAGCTATGTAACTGTGAAGTTGGAAAGGAGCTTAGAAAGTCATTTTTAAAGCATTTAGCTTCCCCTAGATGCCATATACACATTGAGTAGGAGGGAGAGATACAAAGGAAGTAAGACATGATCCCTGCCTTCAAGGAGCTTGCTGTCTAGAAGTCCAAGATGAAAGGGTTTTGCCAGGGTGTGGGTGCATCGAATGCTACAGCTTCTTGGAGCCACAGGTGAGAGTTGGATGAAAAGTGAACACCAAAAGTAGATGAACATCCCTGAAAAGGATTCAGCAAGCCCTCACACCACAGGTGCTAGTCCTCCTCAAACACTCCATACACTCCCAGACCCTCAAAAAACCCTATACACCCTCAAACCCATTGATGAGTCAGGGGATATCTACCCCAAGCATGTGAAGACTCCTCTTGGCAGAATAGGTGTGTGAGAAGTAAGAAACTGTGATATTTCCATAAAAGGAAATTGAGAGAAAAGTAGCTCTGGGTCAGGAGCTTCAAGAACCAGCTAAAATTGAACAGAGATTAAGCTTTACTTAGAGTATGAATGCTTAATAGGCTCATGAATGCTAGTTTCTCCACCCCTAGGTGGGGTTAAGATGGCCATTTTATGTATGAAGAACAAGGGGGAAACATACCAAGGAGAACATGTGATGGTGTTTTGGAACATCTGTGACCTGTGCTGACTTCTACCATAAAAGTCAGCTAGGAGGGAATTGTGGCAGGGAATAGGGATATAAGGATTGCTCTCGCTTCTATAGTGTATCTGTGCTCATCTTGAGTTCCACACCTGGTTGCTACAGGAAGCATACTAAAGGTTTCAACTGCTTCACTCATCCTGAGTCTGTAACTTACTGTGCCTATTTAAGCACCAGAGGTTATTTCCAACAGGTGGATAAGAACAAGTTTATTACAATGGCCATGAAGGCAGCTGAAGCAGGCATTTTGGGGCACTTAGAGCTTGGTCAGACATCAAAGATGGCCAACCACAAGTCATCCACTACATTCCATCCCATTGCTGTTAGTCTTGACTTTTGTCTTGCCACTGGACTTCAGTGACTCTAGGAGAGAGAGTGAGGCTGATGACTTTGTCAAACTCTGTGTACTTAAATCCAGTTCACATATAAGTCAAGACATCATCTTCAAAATGAAGGCTGAACAACACTGAACTCTAAATCTGGCTTCCTATCTCATCATTTATTGGAAACTGCTCTCTCCATAGTTAACAATCACTTAATTGGCAAATTTAATGACCTGCCCTCAATCCTCAAGCCCTTCCTGATCCCTGTGCACCCTCTTCTCATTTCCTTAGTTATCTTCCCACATCTCTGAATCCTCCTTCACAGGCTTTACTGGATCTTATCTAGCACTAACCTCCTAGCTACTTTACAGTCTCTATCTCCAACTGCCTGTTGGACTGTAGAACTAAATAGCTTGTGGACCTCTTAACATGTCTAGAAGTGAACATAAGCTTTCTGCACCTTCCCCCCCAATCCTCCTCTCTTCCTATTTTTGCAAACAATTTACATAATATTAGGATTAAGATTTATTTGAATGATTGATAGAATTAATTTGTAAATCCATCAGGTCCTGGGTTTTTTACTTTGGTCATTTCTTTAAGGCTTGTTCAATTAATTTTTCTGATAGTGAGTTATTTATATTTTCCACTTCTTTTTCTCTTCTGTTTATTTTATATTTTTATAAATATTTATCCATTTCATTTAAATTACTAGTTTCATTGTCATTTGATTTTCTTCTCTGTTTTTATTAGATTAGCTAATCATTTATATTCTTTTGTTAGACTCTTTGACATTGTCCTCTTTTATATAAAGAGGAATTGAACCTGTGATTTCACTTGCCATCTAAGTACCTGAAGGAAAGGTTAAATGAATGGCAGGGAGACAAAGCTAAACTATAATGGTCAGGGAACTCAGTGTCCCCCTTTCAGACCTAGGCAAATCTAATGAAAAAGATAATTATGCATAATTAATGTTATTTCATACTGGTGTCTTCAAGTATAATTTAATTTCCTTGCCTATTTTTTTAAAATGTTTACTTTTATTTTTGTTTGAGATCATGGTTGCTACTTTATTTTTATTTAGTTGGTTCACCGTATCCTAGTTTTTAATATGAATCTTTATGTTTCTAATGTGTTTTTTATATGAGAAAGAATGTGACCAACACTAATAATCTATCATTCAAGGGGTTTTGGAGTTCCTACTCCTCTGCCCCCTCCTCCCTTCCCTTCATTTAGTCTTTATTACCAGTTCATATATTTTTTTCTTTCTTTTTAATTCATCTTTACAATCTACCATCAAAATTTGAACTATATTTTGTTTGTGTCTTTTTTCTTGCACATTCCAATTATGAAAGATAGTTCTTCCCCCTTTTTCCTTATTTCAGGTCTTATGTTTCAAAATTTATACTCACCCCTGATCTTTTTTCATGGGGCTTACTTGAAAGTCCTCTTTTCTATTAAAGGTTTTTTTTTCTTTGTAGTAACAAAATACTTAATGTTTAGGGGTAAATTATCCTTGATTATAAGCCTTTGCTTTTTCCCTTTTAGAATATCATATTCCAAAATTTTTTTTCTCCTCTATTGTAGTTGTAGCTTAATCTTGTGTAATGCCAACTGGTTCCTTGGTACTTAAATCCTTTCTTTTTTGCCTGCCTTTAGTACTTTGACTTGGAATTTGGATTTTCTACTCACAGTTTGGGTGTTTTCAACTTGGGGTTCTTTTAGGAGGTGACTGGTGTACACTTTTTTTTCCCACTTTGCCTTCATTTCTAATTAATCTGGACAGTTTTATGAGTGAAAAAAAATCATTTATTAAGGCCTTATTATGTGCCAGGCATGGGGCCAACATGGGATACTAATACAAACAAGCAGAACAGTACTTGCCTTCAAGGAGCTTACATTCTGATAGGGAAAACAGGACCTATAGAGGAGTAGTGACTAAGGAGAAGTGTTTTGTACAGAGATCATACTGTGGAGATATTCAAGAAGTAGCTTGCAGGGCCTGAGAAAGTTGGCATCTAGTCACAGGGTTGGGACTTTATGTTCTGGATGGAGGTGGAAGCTAGAGAACTAGCATTATATGTAAATGACTAGGGAAATGGTGAGGTGGGCTTGGGACTGGACAAGTTAAAGTACTTTCTTGAAATATGGTATCTGGGTTTTCTGTTTGGTGAGAGTTTTCAAGAAGTTAACAGAAGGGCCTGCAGTCCAATTTGGCCCTCTACCAGTTTTTGTATTGCTGAATTAAGAATAATTTTTTACATCTTTAAATAAAGTTCCATTTTATTTAAAAATGTAAAAAAAATGTTCTTAGTTCAAGGGCTCTTAAAAAAAAACCGCAAAACAACAGGAGGCAGATTGGATCTGGCCCTTGACCAATAGGTTGCTGACCCCAGTTTTCAGGTCTGGTCACCTAAGCCTAGGTTGGCTTCCCTGGTAGGGCCCCCTCCCTCTGGGCCTACAGAATTTTGACTGTCTTTTTGTACAGTCCTGTGCTGGATAGAGAAGCTTACTGTTGTTTATTTTTTAAATTTTATTGAACATTATTCAGTTTGGTGCCCATTTTAGATCTGTGCTAGAGTTTATGTGAGAGAACTGGGTTCTTCTACAATCTTTCTGATTCAGTTAATAAACAAATATTATTAAGTATCCCACTGCCAGTCCAGTGAACAGGGAGAAATGATGGTAGGCAAAGCATAACCAAATAATAATGCTCCATCCTTTACTAAAGTTTCTCCCTAACTTCTATGAAGTAAAATCAAAAGCCTCATTATAGTCGAGCAATATAAATTACCTCTCATCTGTGAAATTGTTTTGGTCCAATAATATAAAGAGATTTTTAAAATTTATACATTTCATTCCACACAGAACAGTTACTCTTCTTTATATTGTGCTAGTTAAAAATTTGCAAATATGGTTTAATGACTTCTAGATGTTTGCAATTCCATAATTTAATTTGCCCTGAAACTCAATAAATTTGAAGTCAGTAATGGTATACAAATTTGCATGCTTTAACAGATTATTTCTTCTCTAATATTAAGGCTGTAATTTTTAAAAATTTAGTTATTTTTAGCATTCTTTTATTTAAAACTTTTGAGTTCCAAATTCTTACTCCTTCTAGTACCTTACCTACCCATTGAGAAGAC